TGGTAGGCATTGAAACAGCTAATAAATGTCAACACCGAGAAAGCCAAGGCTGCTTTTGAAACTGTCTCATGTCAATGCTTGAGTTCTTAATCCCATCTGAGATAGATACTAACATGTTCAAATCAGACTTGCTGGCCAAGTTAGGTGAAAGGACACGGGCGCCTTGTGGCAAGACTGTGGGTGAGAGCAGCTGACACAGACCCGTGTGAATCGTGCTCAAACATCGTCACAAACACTCTGGTAGGTTCCTTGTGGTGAAGTCTGCATTGCCTGCGCCAGTCGCTGTCGTGTGCTCAGAAAATAGGTGACAACAGGAATAATGGCAGGTGAGTGTTTGCACAAAGACATTAGGCCCAGGTCCTGTAAAAGCTGCTTGTGTGCTGTAGCCATGGCAAGTAGCTCTATTAATTAGCAATTATATTAATAACAGTGTATAAAGCTAGTGCTAGAGCAAGCACCTTTGATAGGCAGGAGAGTGATGTGAGCAATGAGCACACTGACTAAGGTAGAAAGGGTTATTTTTTTATATGCTTATTTATTAAGGAATTTAAAATAATGACCAATGGGGAAAAGTGAGTGAAATTGTTCTGGAGTTGTGATTTTTTTTTTTTTTTTTTCCTATCAACATTCTGCCCAGTCTGTCATGGGTTTCCCTCTGGCCAGCTACTCATATCCTTTTACATTACCTCTGTCAATTAGGCTAAAATATCAGAAAGAAGCGGGGAGAGGGGCTTTGTAGGTGTTAAAAACTGCCTCATTAAATCTCCCCCTTAAGGCTTTTCAGGATGTTTTTATCTTTTGTTTTGCACCATACTGTTCCAATTTTAATTTCTTTTGGAGGTGAGCAGCAGCTACTTTTTTTCCAAATCATTTTTCATCTTAAGTGTTAAAAAAAAAAACAGTGGCCTTTCAGTTTTGGGGGGGATGTGTACTTTTGACATACCCAGAAAGCCAGTTCATAAAACAGTGGTTTTCTGCACTTTCACTTCCTCGGCATTTCCAAGTAGTTGAAGCTCACAGTGAGACTCAATGTATGAAAGTCATGATAGTCTCTAAATTCATGTAGTGTTACAGACTTTCTGTTTGCATTGTATTTTGGAATTCACGGCCACATTAGCAGTAACAGGAGTCCTCAAGACACGATGTCTGTATGGCTGCTCACCCTGCCAGGTGGGCACGCCCGAAGTGTTTCAAACCACCGGCTAGTCTCTTTTTTGTCCCGTGTCGTCGTCCCTGTTCCTCCCCCCCCCATTTGTGACTTAGCACATCATTGCCCATCCTACTCTCAGCACCACTCTTGCAGCCTTTTTATCCTGCAGGTCAATGAGCACCTAGGATAGAGAACAGGATGGGGGGTGAAGGATAAATGAGGCATGTACACGAGGCACCTAGGAAAACACTATTTGCAGGTAAGAAGCCTTCCTTATACATTTTTGCCTTGCCCTCCTTTACTCCCATTAGGAAGGCTGTGTGGCAGCCCAAGCTTTGCGCTGCAGCTGAGAGCTTGCTGGGTGATGCATCCCACTGTATGCATTGTCCTTCCATGGTGGGCTGGGGTGGGGTTGGGTTTTTTTTGAAAATACGCATGAATTGTTAGTTAGCTTCAAGGGTCTGAGCATAAATCTATCATCTCGGGCCAGTGGTAACACTCGTGTTGTAAAATCCTTTTTCCTAGGCTGACGGGAAGTCTCTGGGATCAGATACACTGAGTTGAGGTAACAGAAGAACTGAACTGGCTCACGAACTCAAGGACAACAACGTGCTACCACAACGGCAGCGAGGTAGGCGTAATACAGCAGGAGACCTGGTTTGCGTACTTCTTAACATTTTTCCAGCCTTCGTACGTCGTCGTGCTGCTCTCTTGTAAATGGCTGCTGCAGCTGTTGAAGGGGAACGAAGCTGAAGGGTGGTTTTCGTCGTCTTGGGACACCTTCCCAGGGTGATGAAGCCCCTGCCACTAACGCAGGCCGGGGAAGCCGGGGCGCTGAAGGGGTCAGCCACCACCAGGTGGCGGCTGGAGTCCAGAGATCTGCCCCGGCCCGGCCCGGCCCTTGTTCTGCTTCTGGCCCCGCCGCCCCCTGCTCCACGGTCCCAGCGGGTACAGCCGGGCGCGGGGGGAGCCGCCGGGGCTCACAGCCTGAAGCGAAAAGGTAAAACAAAACAAGGGAAAGCCACAGTTGTCAAATAACCAGTGTAGCGGAGTTGGAAAGTCCCAACTAACTGGTGAGTGGGGGAACTAAAATCTTGCTAGCGTGGCGGGAGATTGACATTCGATTAGCGGTAACAACTTTATGGCATGTTATAACTCCTCTCTTCTGTGCACTTTACTTTATGAACAAATAATTACCTCTCCCCCCGAAGCAGCTGAAAGACCTTATGGATATCCCCTCTCCTGGCCATGCACTGGTTTGCTCAAAAATTGTTTACTTAACTGCTTCACATATCTGAGATAAAAATCAGAGCAGTTATTTTCAGTTCACTTTTACTGAAATGGATGGTGCAGCTACTGCTCCAGAAGGCCTGCGTGACTGAACGGTTTCTTTTGGGGTTGGGTTCCCCCCCCAGCCCCAAGATACAGATACTGTCCTAGCATGCTGTTGCTTTCCCATATAGGCTTTGCTTTTGTGGCTGCGCTTGCAGAAAAGTTAAACACAAGTAATATGAGTTGCTGGAAACCAGCCTGTTACAGTTTGGGAATACATGTTACATCCTTGTTCAGTCTCATAAATCAGCTCCGTAAAACGGTCACAGGGCAAAAAAATCCTGTCTGTCTTCTCAGGAGAAAAAAAAAAAAAGCATTGTACAGCACTGTGGGTTTGCAGGATTGTTCCACCATCAGCAGCAGGCAAACCTGAATCTGGCAGACAAAACAAGTGGACTAAGCCCTCCAGTGCATCTTACCAAGGATTCAAGAACAGCAGATGCAGCTTTCCAGCAGCTTCTGCATAGGTAAGCCTGGCGTGTATTTAAGGCCCTACAACATTGCAAGGCTTCTCAGGGCAGAACAGAGACGACCATAGCATCATCACATTTAATTGAGGATATCCTCACCATTAGCAGTCTTGTTGGGTTTCTTGCAATAGGAGTGCTGCAACCTTTGGGCTCACTGGAAATGATACCGCACCAGGGATGCAGTTTTCCATGCTGCAGTTTCATGAGATGTGGTGACTGACTCACAGCTCTACTCTCTCTTTGCATGCTGTGTTTACTGTAGCTTTAATGGACTTAGTCTGAAGTGGTATTTTTGCTCAAAATGCAATTAGTTAGTTTTTAAATCAACCTCTTCCCCCACTTCTACTATGCAACACTTCACACAAAGCTTTCTTAATTTGTCAGAGCAAGCAGGGACAACAAACCTAAAGGGAGATTTGTGTCATTTCCTCCTCTAATAGTGACTAAGAAATAACTTGAGGCAGACACATGCAGATGACATTTTAACGAAGGGCTGTTTTGCCTGCAGAGGCACATTGTCTGTATGTGCTAAGGTACCCTGACTCCACAGATGTTTTCCCCCCTTAGCTTGCTGGTAAGAGCTGGTCCACCCTTGTCCCAGGCTACCACTTTAATTGATATGTTACTGTAGATGCAACTGTTCTATCAATTAACTTCCCACGTGGCATGCTTTGTGTTTCAGAAAACAGCTAAACTGCACCCTCAAAATACAGTTATTGAGCAATGCTGTCTGTAATACCTGAGCATTATTATACTGTATCAAGGTGTACCAAATACAAACTGTAAGAGAAGTCATTCTGTTAAGACAAATTATATTGTATTAACTGTGTGACCGTTGCCTTTATTATAGCTTTAATCTAAATCCCATTGATCAGACAATTAAGAGTATATTTCTTCCCTCAGAGTAATACTTCCACCCAATAGTTACTGGATTCTGAACTCCAGTAACCCAAAAGAAACCCATGCAAAAAGAAATCAATTAATTCAGAAATGTAAATGACTTCGTATTACTTTATTAAATAGCCAATTCTAAAGAACAGTAAAAAATATGAAAACATGCATCATTTGGTGTTCTTAAAAAAACATTTGTCCAAAATAAAGACTGTTAGAAAAATTAAACAAGTTTAGCCCCAATACACCTTCTGCTCTCCACATAAAAGATGTTTGGTAGTTATAAATACTGTTCCATCTCCTTTAGCAAAGTTTAACAATGTATACATTAGTATTTCTATTGCAGTTTTTCACATTTCTTCTGTAAACATAATCAATTTTAAAAATGCCTTGTTAGCAAGCTTAAGGAACTATTGCTTTCCTGTACAGTAAATACAAATAGGAAGATCCTGGATTTTCCTGCCATTCTAATCAGCACTCCATTTACTGAAACATTAAAGATTTCGATTAGTATAAAAATATAACCAGAGAATAAATGTCTGAGAAGATTCAGTATCTGAGTGAGTCTTAGTAAACAGGCAAATAAAATGCTATTGACTTCCAAAGCTGAAGATCACATCTGTAAAGCTTCTGCTCTTCTGAGATCCAAGTATCACAATGCTGTACACAAATGCACTGGTTATCCATCTGGAAAATTCACTTCTTACTAAAAATAATTTAACATTTAGCTGACCTAAAAAGCAGGTGCTAAGAGATGGTTGTACAAGTTCAGTGTACATACAAAGGTCAAAGCTGACTAACAAGCCACAACAATGGGCACCTGCTCTTCAGGAGGGGAGACTTAGTTCTCAAAACATCTGTACAACCCAGCAAGAATACTATTTCACTTGGCAATAGACTGGCTTCTTGTCTGGCATGGGAGATCTACAAAGCAAAATCACAGACTTGTTCCTTTTCCCTACAGAAACAGAAATAACTGGCTTTGTCCCAGGAGAGAATTTTGAGGCAGAGCAGTAGGCTCTTTGGGAAGACTTGTTACTTAGAAATGCTGAAATTATTTTACCGATGAGAATTATTTTTTTCTAAAGCACTGTTGCTACACATTTATCATTTTTATCTAAAATAAAAGCATCAAATTTCGTTTTCCTCTTGCATTTTTTTAAATCTGGCCTCCAATTAAGAATAAGACAAAAGTGCTGCATCTAAAATGGTGGTATGTTATAATCAGATTTCTTGCACAAACATAGCCTTGATGCAGATGGCATTTGGCCTGTACGCGCTATCATCCATCTTCCATTCATCTGCTCCAGAAATCTGTAAGTCAAAACTGTGCATCTTTTAAACTATGAAGAGAACTCTCAAGAGTTTTTTTTAGTGCTTCTCAAGTACGAGACAGTACAAGAACAATCTTGCATGACTATTTTTTCCAAATGTTTTACAGCAGCATTTTGTACATATCTATTTCCAGTTCTTTTGTCTGGATTCCTGCAAACAGAGGAAAACAGGACACAAAATCCAACCAGCCAGCAGGTGCCCAGTGATGCCAGTCTACCCTCACTAAGGGTAAAGCACTAAGCACCATGCGAAGAGCAACAGATGGACAGGGAAAAATAAAAGGAGACACAATGGAAGGAAAGGTAATGCTCAGTCTCAGAGTTGGACAGAACCTCCAGGACTGATTTAGCCTGGGTTTAAATTAAACTAACTGAACCAATGAAACAATTGCTTCCCTAACTTTTTGGAATGAAGGTCACACTGCTTGATTGGTTAGATGCTGTCAGATGGTTACAGGCTAGTATAGATACAAATCTGTCACAAGCTACATTTAAATAAACATCTTCAGTTGAGAAGTTTTGTATAAAAGAACAGTTTCTAGAAATGTGAGGGAAAACAGCAAGTACTGTCAGACACCACATATTATAGTTACTGAGCTCTGAGTAGACACTCCTATGTGGTAAACAGTATTTCCTTTGTAGAAGGGCCCAACCTGCTGAGCAAACTAAGATCTTTATAAGCAAGAAGCTGCTCTATGCAAAGCAGAACGAACAAAGGTGGGCTTCTGTTCATGAACGATACATCAGCTACCATCGTTACTCAGAAGTGTTTTTTTTCCCTTTCCAGCTCTTTTGTCTTTGCTCGAGTTCAGCTTCAGTGAACGCAGCCGGGCCCCAGTTGGTGATTAAGTGAGGATTCTTGGAGCCTGGAAAATAGAGTGCAGTACTTGAAACAGGCGTTTCCGACAGGGACATCGCTCACCCACTGTCGGTGGCACTGGCTGAGTGTCGCCACGGGATGATTTGGTAAGTGCTGTCTCTTCTGTGACTGGAAACCCTGCCTAACCAAGGAGGGAAGAATGTCTGGGACACTGTCAGTGAAGGTGCTTAGTGTGAGAAGTTGTCAACTGCTGCAATGTTTTGCATCCTTATCTCCCAACTTCCCCCTCACCCCAAATAGTAAATGCCTCTTCTTCTTGCCTTTAGAGATGTCCTTGAAGGAAAGCTCTCTCTCCACCACTGCATTACAAAGCCACTTTCCTCTGGGCTGGCACGCTATTAATTAAGCTAAGATATTAAACTTTTCCCCAAAATCAAGTATTTGAGCTACCTTCATGGTTTTGGCCATTAGCATTTATGCTAACTGCATTAAACACCCAAACCATGCAATGTTCAGGTTGATCCTGCTTTGTTTTAAATAAACAAACAAACAATAATAATAAAAAGAATTAATTGTGGTAGTAGGGCCAGTAGAGGTAAAGACTTGAAAGTTACCATCAGCAGTTCTCACAAATGGGATATTTATAGGCTGCCATGAAACCAATAAGCTACAGGAAAAGGCAGACTTCAGTAAATCACTAGGTGATCTAAGTGTATGGGACAGAATGAATATGTATTTTTTGAAATGTTGTTGATAACTTACCTGGCTCTATTAGTCGAATTAATCCCTCATGATGAGCTACTTTATCTTTCCAGCTCTTGGTGTTATTAGCTGCTGTTTCCAACTTCTTCTTAACCTCCTGAAATAAGATATAGCCCACTTGAAAACAAGAACAACTTTACTCTGTTTATATAAAAAGAAATACCATCCTTTTAAATCTAAAGACAGAACCACACTAATTCAGCAAGCACTCCGTTTAATGTAGACAGAATAACTTAATTTCTAACCATCCTAAGTAATTTAGTCAGTTGCTAGCTGTACAAAAGTAAGCTGTCAAAGCAGAATCCAAAAATAACCAGGTTTTACAAGATTCTGTAGCTGCATAAGTAGGGCTAGTCTTCATGAAGATTGAAAGCATAAACCATAGTTTCAAAACAGAAAGATGCATTTTCTGATCCAAACTAAGACCAGCTAGTAGGTATTCCCTCACTATCAGAAATCATAAAATGTAAGCTAGGAAAAGGACCACTGCTGTTACGCCCACGCAAGAAAGAGGTATTCTTCAGTCTAAACCAGTCTTTTGGTCAATTCCAAATGGAATGCCAGAATGTTTAATTATTTCTAAAATAATGAATCAACTATTGCAGTGACCTACTCCATCATTTGTTTTGTGGATTTTTTTTTGGTTGGTTGGTTTTTTTAATGTCTATTGTATTCAGCAATTCCTGTGGAGTAATAAATGATGTTTCATATACAAAAACCCTGAGATGTCATCTAAAAAAAAGTCAAGTATTAGGTATTAGCTGAAAGCAATCTAACAATGGTGTTAGATGTAACACCAACATGGTAAGTTGTAAAGTGGCCAGAACTACACCACCTGGGCCCTTGCTTGCAGTCACTGCAGCATTTGTATTCTGTGCCAGTCGAGACAGCTCACTAGCTTGTCCTTCACGGAGCTAACTTCAAGGGCACAGAGACAGCATAAACACACTCCCTAGTTAGTTAAACAGAAATTCAGTCATGTTTTGTTTCCTGACATAAATACACACAGGATCAACACCTCACTAGCCCTAGAAAATAGCAGCACTTCAGACTCTCTACTCGCTGGATTCTGACTCTTATTTCTTCCATGAATACAGCTACTGACCTTCACCAAAACCACTCAGTGGAACAGAGAACAGGCCTGGCATTTGGGACGTGAGGCATTGCTATACACTGAGAATCTGAGATAATTCCTAGCTATCCTTGACATCAGTTTAGTGCTTAAATACCTTTTTGAGGAGCAAGGGCCTACAGTAGCACATTGTTTTTTCAGCTGTAGAAGACAATATTGCCCCATGACATCATCAAAACACTGCAAGAATAACTAATTCAAAAGCATAAGGCATTTAGTTATGACAGCAATGGGACTACATAAGAAGTTAGTCTACAGTAGAAGACAAACGTACACAGAGTGTTTCAGGATGGATATGACTGAGCTGACTTGCATGCAAATTGGGACAAAAGAATAAAGGAGGTGGTTGTGTCCGAAACATGTCCTTTTCTTCAATTATATCTACTGGTCTAGGCCAAAAAAACCCAACGCATAACCATCCTACCTGTTACTATAATTTTTGTGCCATACTAATCCTTAAAGAAAAGAAACATAATATTGATGAACTTCAGTTAAATTACTGAATACCTGGCTAAGTATGAGAGGCTGATGAACAGAACAGCTCACCTCATATTGCTCAAGGGCCTCCTTCCTTTCCAGTTCAAGTTGTTCCAGTTGCTGCATAGCAACTTGAAGAGCCTGTTCCTTTATCATTCTCTGGTTTTCTAGCTCTTGCTTCTCTGCTTCTGTCATCTGAATGGTCTGTTGCTGCTGCAGGTGCCATTTTTCCAGTTCAGCTCTCTTTGCGGACTCCTCTTCCAGTAGTCTGCAATGGGGATTGCAATGTTAACTGCACTTTAAAGCAAGATGTATCTATTATGTAGCACATGTGTAAGGAAGCCAAGCTAATTATTTTCTTTCCTTTTTTTTTTTTTTTTTTTTTAAATACTTGGGAAGCTGGGAAAAAGTTATTGCTTGTTGGCTTGTCTTCAGTGTAAAGCTGAAAATCATGCCAGCAGTGCAAGCAGTCTGCTACAAAGTGCTATTCAGAAAATTTAGTCAATAATGCAAATATACAACACTGAAAACCACAGAAGAAACAAGCATGCATAAGTTATCTTAATTGTCTTAGGAAGACTGAATAGATGAATAAACAAACCACATTAAACAAAGCCCATATGAGTAAAATGAGACTTAACCCTTTATCAATTACATTTTAAACCTGTGATAAAATTCAGCAGAAAGTCATATGTACAGTTGCTGCTTTATAAAATACACAATTGAAAATTCTGTACAGAGTGATCTCAGTTTTTCAAGTGCTGACATGCACAACAGCTGATGAAAAACGAGCGTGCCTGCTTTTCTGAAATTGCTGAGCACTCCCACTGCTAAGGGCTAATCAAACATATTAAAAAAATCATAAATACCAGCTTTAGCTTTCATAGCTTAAGGGAAAAAAAAAAAAAATCTATCCTGTGTTTGAACTTCAAGCTATTTCCCCCCTTCCAGCAGCGTGTCCAAGATGCAAACTATCTTTAATACTATGGCACAGTTATTTATTATTGCAGGGGCAGGGAGCGAGGAATTGAAATAAATCTCTACTAGGTCAAAGCCATACCTGGCTTGAAGTTTTCTTACAGTCTCTTCATCTTGACGTGCCTGTTTCTCATCCTCCAAAGCTTCCTGTAGCTGCTTATACATTTCTTCCAGTTCACGTACTCTCTGTAAATACTGTTCCAGTTCAGATGATTTCTGAGCAACCTGCTCTTCCATTTTTTGTCTTACCTAGCATCATAAATTGAGGACACATATAAGCTACCATTCAACTCAGGTTTTCAATTTTTTAAGGAATTGCCAGGTTTCCCTCAGATTATGTTTTCAAAGACAAAGCTTTTCCTGCTGCCTGCAGAGCAAAACTGATAAAAACAATTCTAAATTTGTAGATGTGCAACTAAGAGCATTTTAAAAAATAAATAATAATACAGGTTACTTACATTGCCTTACTTCATGCAGCACAGGATTTTTACAGGGGTTTAAACCTAACTTCAATCAGTTTGATTTTGTCACTTAGTTTACAGATAGATACACACTAAACTGAAGGAAGAGAAAACTTGTAGAGTGCCCAGACACCAAGGTCAGGCTGGTTTAAATCACACTGTTTCTACTCCTTTCCTCAGGCAAGTCCTCCTTGGCAGCAGTGTATTCTACACAAATCTGGATGATGGCACTGCAACAGCACGGGATGGATAAAGGGGTGGAAATCAGCTAAGGAGGTTGGCTTTACTAAGAGATGAGCAACTACAACAAAAAACAATGGTAAGGGACAGAAGAAGGTGAGGGGATGCTGCATATCCACAGTCACGCAGTCTCTGATCCACTGTCACTGACGAGAGCAGGAAATCAGGGGTGCTGTGCCACCAGAGACGTCCTCCCACTCAGCCCCTCAGTGTGCTAGGGACAACAGCAGTCAGCTGGCTTTGAACGGTGTCAGGATAAAGCACCAAAACCTCGGCATTCAGCAATACATAACATGCGCTTCACAGAACGTAAGCACAGCTCCTGAAGTCAGCAAGAAAGGCTTGCTGTCAAGTGTGGTAGGACAGCATGTATGTTCCACTGGTCTGCAGTCTGCTTTTCTGCAGCTAACCAAAATCCCACTGACCCACAAAAGTGATCGTATTCAGGAATTCACACTCAGCCCATAAGGAAGCACTGTGTGCATTTATGTTCCAAGATGTTCCATCACATCAACTTGACTATTTCTACTTCTTTTTCCAGCTAACAGAAAAGCCTGTTATGCCTGACAAAGCCCTTGAAGACTGAAAATTAGTTCTTTGGAAATTCTGCATGTGGATTATACTAACAGCGTGGTAAAGCTACAATATTTCTTTAATTTTTTATGTTTGTGTGTGTGTATAAATGTAAAAGAACACACAGTATAAAAAAAGCAATAGTTTTAGGAATATATTAAAGTCTGAAAATTCCTAAAATGCATTTTGATTATGCCTGTGTTCATTCTGCATATTCATAGAGTACGTACTGGTCCTCCAGTTCTCCATCTTTGAAAATTGCAAGGATAACTTCAGTCTGCATTTTTCCTTCAAAGAGTCAATTTTTCCCCAATTTTCCAATAATATTTAAGCTTTGAATGCTATACAAATTGTAGGCAAGCTGTTCCAATTATCTGAATTCACTAGTAAAAATATTTTATTCCTACGTCTCTAATAAATGCAATGCAGGTTGCATTCTCCAGCTTCCTGCAAAGTCTGTGGAATCCTTTCAGTGACTGCCTGTGAGAGAAGTAATTGCTGAACGGATTGCTCACTACGTGTAATCATAGCAAAAAAACACGTGCGCTACTCACCATTTTTTCTCTCTCCAGCTCCAAACTGAAGCGATCTTGTAATTCGACTTGAGTCTGAAGTCTTTTCTTCTCTTCCTCAGCAGCACGAGCAGCTGCTGCTTCCAGTTGCTGGAAAAGAAGGGCAGGGAGTGGGAGGAAGAAAACAAGGAAAAAAACAATTTGTCAAAACTAAAACATTTGGAGGGAATGGAATTTTATTTAACAATTTTTGGTTTTAACAAAAATAGAAGAAACCTTCAAAAGCATTAAGGTACCAGCTTTTTTTTTTTAAATGTCTGAGGCTATTCCCAATCTCTAAACCTAATTTTTCATCTTGTTATTTGCAAGACAATTCTAAATTTACCAATGAAAAGTCAATTATCAGACTTCCTCCCCTCCAAGCTTCCTTTGAGTCTCGCTCTGCACAACCGATAGAAATCACTATATTTCCTTCTCCATCTCATATGGGATGGAAAACTATTATGGAAAACCACATTGCAGGCAGGACTGCAAAGGAGTCCCAACAGTGAAAACATGCCAGCATGCATAGAGTTCATACAGAAACAGAAGTGAGAAGCACTAAATTGCCATGAGAAAGCAGAAGTGCTGCAAACTTTGACTATAATAAGTGATTGTGCTATTGTGAATCACATCCCTTTAACATCCCCTAAATTGCCATGTAAGGTAAATATAATTCTAGTTGATAATCATCACTCAAAATTAGGGGAAAAATTAGCCTAGTCAGAGCTAAGGTCTAGGAAACAGCTGCTGGTACCTTCACGCCTTCTTGCAACTTATTTAACTTTTTTTGCATCTTGATTTCACAAATAAAAGATAGTTGTCACAGTTTTTCCTTTCATCAGGATTTCAACAGCATGCATTTTTAGAATGCATGGAAGGTTAGAAATGTACAAGTACCAGCCAAAACTTTATCAATACTGAAAACAAAAATAATTCTTCCACAGATTTTTCCTAAGAAACTTATTTGATGCTTCAGAGGAAACAGGAACCAAGCACCCTTCTTTTGTAATATGCTAGGCTGGTGAAATTGTTTCCACAGACCTTCAGAAAGAGCAGGGCACCCATCATCTTTAGTATTTTTGGAATGTACCATATGTAAACCACCTTCCCTCACACAACCTAGATGAACTAATGGGATGCCTAAATGATTAAAACCGCCAGGCTAAACTTTTCATTCCTTTAAGTGCTTGTGATATCACTCTAGTCTGAAATAGATGGGAGGAAGGGAAGAAGGCTCCTAGTTTGTTTTTAACCTGTAGAAGATAATACAGAATTGCTCTCCTTTGAAAGGCTTAAATTATGCCAGTCTTTTGGAAGCAGTATTCCTCCTCTGCCAGAACATTTAAAAGCATGTAATTGTAGTCAAATCCAAGATGCCTATTTTAAGTGAAATTTTCTTTTGATTTTCTTCCCCACTTTGAAATTAAACAAACATTGCCAATACTGAGCTGAGAGGTGAACATGCAGAGTCACAGGCAAGGGTGGGTGCTAGGCTTTTGCCAGAGAGCTCAACAAGAAAATACACTGTTTGCCCATTCTTCATCAGCAACTTCCTGCTTAATTCATGTCAGGGGACATCAATATCTGGCAGGTAAGGTTACTGGCAACAATTCTGCAGTTTAGGGAAAAGTCCCAAATGTTGGATGCAGGGAGAGAATCAACAGGAACACACCATTCCAGCAGGGGTTAGTTAGCACAGTCTCTGAAGCCCATGCAGGATCCCAAATTGAAACAGAAAGGGTGCACAAGTCTTGTGCATGCTCTCTTGGCAAGAAAAACTTACCTTTCAGTCTGTTCAATGTGTGTATCTCAAAATTCCATTTAAAAGTATGAAAAAAAAATCTATTTTAGACAAAGGCTTTTATCCTTCTGAAGTTTTCTACTGCAGTAGCTATCAAAATACAAACCAGTCTCAGAGTACACTTTGGCAGATGCTGCAGAAGTGGTGGCTCACTGCCATTAGGAGCAAATCTAACTAAGCTTTCCAGAAGAATTCAGTTTCCTGAACTATTTACAAAGCCTTTTCCTTGAAGAACATTTTTCCTAACTAATCAAACACTTCAAGTTCCTGCAACACAGTACCTCCCCACTAATTCCACTTAGTCAAAGTGCAGTAGTTCATGTCAGAGACTAAATACTCTCCTTCAGAAGTCATTTTAATCCAGTCCACTTCAAAAGATGCTTCTTGTCACAACTCTCTTTAGTTTACCCATTGTCATTTCTACAAAACTCCCTGGAGCCTGTCAACATCGTACTGCTCCTTTGGGGGTGCTTTCATGTTATCTTCCCCCAAACTTTTTCTCAATAAAGTAAGCTCAACACTAACATCCAGCCCTATGATTTCTGTTAACGGGTATACTACTTACCAGTAACTTGCAGGTAACACAGGCTATCCTTTAAAGCATATTTTGCATTCTGAATCTTAAGCACATGGTAGAATATAGATGCTAAAATTAAATTTAAAAAATGGTTTTCCACTGTCAGACTCCATTTAAGGCAAACAGAATAATACCCACATCAGTACTGTCAGTGCAAGGTTATTAAAAAAAGACAAACTTCTCCTCATCACAAATTGTGACTTAATGACAAGACTTTTAAAAAGATACATTTTGGATTATTTTATTTGCTTTCTAGACTCATCACCTTTAACATGTTCTCACAATATTTATAACTTCGCCGCCATCCCCTGCCGCAATCATGAAAGATTTTCTGAGGGCTAAAATTAGTGTGTTTTTAATTTATGAAAACCTCAAGCAGTGATGCAGACAGGAAGTATATCTGGATACTAATCAAGTCTCTGTGGAGAACTATTGCAGAGGTACTAGTTGTTCCAAAGCACAAAGATCCATCAGCATGTTCAATCTACTGTTAAGAGTGTGCAGCCACAGCAAAGGCACCTTGGTGTCTCCTGCCAGTCATTAGATTTAGACTAAAAAGCTGTCTACAAGGAAAATAATGTATTCAACAAGTCTTCTGCTAATACTCAGAAATTTCTAAGTCCAATTCTCAGGCTTTTAGAAGTCAATCCAGCATTTACAAGGAACATACATTTAAACAGTTTATAAATGGTTGCTATGTGTCTCAGCTCTATAAATCTCTCCCAAACTACTCTAATAAAATTATGCCTATACCTACTCACGAAATCACTTGGCATCTTTGTAAATTAAATTTCTATCTCTGGAATAGTCTGCATGAAGAGTTCCCCCACACATACAATTCACATAACAGAACTCTGGAAAACTACATAAGAAAATCTTAATGGAAAGCCCCAAGTTTGACAGACATGTCTGACAGAAAAAAAAACCAAAAAACCCACAAGTCACTGAAAATACTAGACTCTCCAGTCCCCAGACAGCATCCACACAGCTGGGGTTTTCTTTTACACTAGCTTTACAATACCCTCATAAGTACAGGGGACAGGGCCGGGCCACGTGAGTTACGCCGAGTGCGCTGAACAGTCCTTAGAAACCTGCTGCCGTCACTGCGAAGGCTTTACTGCAGGCTCAGCCAGCAGATCTACTTGCTTAGGGGGCTGACACCAACACAAGCTCACCTCCTCTGGAGGAGTTCGCTCAATGTATCTGAACACCTGAACAGGAAATTGATGCCTAATTATACTTCAAGAAGCCCAGCTCAACCACAGAAGATGGAGCTTAAAGCTCGAAGGTCAGCAGCTCCCACTCCCACCTTTCGCACAGTCTCCAGTTCCTTCTGCTTGTTCTCATTAGCCGTTTGCAGTTCTTTCATCTGCCGCTCCAGCTCTTCTTGCTCAGCCAACAGCTTCTGGCGCAATTCTTTTCGTTTTTGGCGTGCTTCTTTGTGGGGTGGAGGGCTCCCTGCTCTCAACAGGTTTACAGTGGTCTGTATGGCTGGAAAGCAGGGTGTAAGACAAAGGGAGAGGAAGAGAACACCAGTGAAGGGCAATGCTAAACTTTCTGGATAGCCTTAGTGAATGAATACTAGTGGTGTTGTGTTGGTTGGGGGCGGGGGGGTGTGGTTAATATATTTTTAAATCAGAAATAACTGTTGTCAGTTCTCCTAATTCTCACCAGGTTACATGTCAACACAAACCAAAAGTGAAAGACACTTGGCTTTCAATATTGGTTGTGTGCCACAAAGATATGGTACGGCAATTCCAATGCATTATGTCAACTCCAATATTGATTTCTAACAGGCAGTGGACATAAAAGTCACTTGTATGCCTAGGTGAAAAAAAAAAAAAACAAAAAACCAACCCAAAAACCAAACCCCAATGCTTCAGGATTTCTTACTACGTAGATTCAGTGACTCTAATCAAGCAGTAAGATGTTATCTAAAATATACATCACTTACTTCCCTAGAACCAACCTTAAACCCTTTATTCTTACTGATACTCCAAGGGAAAACTTTCTCCCAGTAAGAAAGTAGCTCTCATTCACTTACATTCAGCGAGGAAATATTCAGAGGGCAAAACTGAGGAGTGGCGGATGATTTTGATATTTTATTCACCTACTACAACTGAAAAAAGATCTCCTTTTGGAAGTAAGTAATCATTCGTCATACATTAGACTTTGGTGCAATTAAACACATGCTTTAGGTAAAGAGGGAAGTGCAAATGAAAGCACACAGCTCCAAATATTTAAATGCCGTACCTACTTCAATGGCATTGGCAACAGTGGGTTTGCACGGGCTTCTACCTAACTCCGCAAAAGATGCATGTAACTATCACTCAGCACATATCTGGGAAGGTCTCACAGAAGGAGTACCTTCACCGTGGGAAAAGAAAAGGAAGCCTCAATTCCCAGCCTTATCCTCAGCTCAGCAAACCATACTACCTCAAGCAAAACTGTAAAAGCAAAGCCAGTATTTTATGATGCTGAAATGAACAAGCTTTCACTTTCTCCTCAAAAGCAACAATTTACAATGTATTCCCCTTCCCTTCCCCATCCCTAGAAGTACAGCCAACATAGAAAACGCAAACAACGATAATATCCATTTCATTTTGGTTATGGCTGCCTAAATTGAGGCACATAAATGACAGAAACCAATTCCCCTTACATGGATCCTTAGTTCTTCCTGAGTCTCGGGCTCCTTAAAGATCCTTTTCATGTGCCCAAAACAGACACCAAAAATCACAAGACCAAGAATTTCAAATCTGCGTAAAGCATGGCTGTAAGACTTCAGCTTACCTTAACTTTCATGTAGCTAAGATTTTTGAAACCTCACCTTGAATCCACTCCTGCTTCTTCTTTTTATCAGAGGCACTGATCTCAAAGCTTTTATCAAGACATTTTATGAGAAAAAGGCATTTCTTTCCATCTTTGTCAGGCAAGGCCTAGAATGGGTAACAAAGGATTAGCCTTGCAAACACTGAAATCTAAGTTACGATGTCAAGCCCCACATATGCAGTCATCTGTTACAGAGCTACAAATAACAGTACTAAGAACCTCTATAAAAAGACTGTTTATGAACCGTTTATATAAAAAGTAAAAAAATTCTGTTAACGAAAGATATCAGGAGTCCATCCCGCACACGAAAAAGGATTAATTCTTATCTTTAGAGAAATTCATAGGTTTTGATGCTGGGTTGTTTTTTTTTTTTTACCTCTACACAACAGTTGCCATCTAGTAGGATGTCTCCCTTCTTGTCCTTTAAATCTTCACTTACATAGTAGGAAATAATATTGGGTTTTAGCACAAACCATCGTTCCGTCCAATTTTTCCTTTTATGACCTTTTTTCAACATATAGCCCTGTAAAAAGCAACAGATCAGCTGAAATGCCTGGCCTCTGTTGAACCGCCTGGTCTTTTGGTTATGTGGCTCAAAGGCCCAATAGAGCACACAGAAAAGTTAGCTCAAGGCCCTAAATACTTCACCTACACACTTCCATTCCTAATACCAGCACACTGCTAATTGTTTAGCCCATGAGAAACTATTTGCTGTTCTTCCGTCCAGTTTTTAAGTAACTGGGTTATATGAAGAACTGAACAATAATTATTATGTCATTATCAAGTCATTATTATGACTCTTCGGTCCTCTTTAATGACCTTCACTATTTAATTTTCTTCAGTCAAGCAGAGACATTTGCCATCGCTAAGACTCACCTGTAATACTTTAATGACAGCTGTTATTAAAAATCAGTCCTGTGTGGATGCACACCCCAGTGACAGATGCGGGCCTGCACCTATGCACTGTAAACCAGGGACAAAGCAGAAGCACCTCTGTCCTGGGAATGGCTGCACCCTGGCAACACACTCATTTAGCTGCAGCCCATCGAAGAAGCGATCCCATATAGGAAACTTCAGTAAGTGTGTTAGAGAAACTGATAACAGAACCATACTCCTGGCACCTTTACTGGACTAGATACGGGAACACTGGTGAAGCCCAGATTTTCCCTTAAAGGAACAGAGTTGTACTTTGATTTAAATAATGCCAAGATTTCACTCATAGTATTTTATTTTTCTTGAAAGATGATCCACTCAACTTTCTATATGAGAAAAAACACTTGCAAGCCTTAACAAAACTATTTCAAAAGAAGGAAGAGAAGCCCCTACTTTGTCACTGAGCTTTATACAAATAAAAGAATAAAAATTATAATCTTCTGTAATGACAATAAATAGGGCTGGTATCATGACCAAATCATCCAAGTTTGTCTCTATGGAATATTAACATATCTAAAATATAAGCAGCAATACTAAGTGCAGTTATATTTGTAACCCTGTTATACATTATCCAGGGTGGCTACAGCAATTTAAAAACCATCTCATGGAGAAGAGGGTGCACAGGGAATGATATAATAATTGGTCATTCTTTCAGGCGTTTGATTTTTAGTGGTCTTATCAGGGGTGCTGCTGTGACCTAGTCAGTTTTTAATCTAGACTTTCAAAATTTGCTACTATTTCAGCTATATCTGCCATTTCTGAAACCATATTCCCCAATTACTTACGTACTTTTGTCTGACTCCTAACTTTGGAAAAAAGTCAAATCACAGATGAAACTAAACCACCTACATCAACATAGCTATGAACAAGCCATGCAGAAAGCACTGTACTCAAAGTATTCCAGATCAAGAGGATTGAAAAGTTGGAAAGGAGACCAAGGAACATTTTTCTGTAATGCCTTTTAGCTATAGCAATTTTGGATACAAGCAAACAAACAAATGTGCTGTAGCATATTTAAGTCAAAGGCATCTTTCTGTACAGGTCTGACAGGGAAAATTCCAGGACAGTTGGAAAAGCTCTTTTGTTTATAAAAAAACAAACAAAAAAGAAACAACCCACACACATTATCTGTGCTCAGCTTTTCTAGCCAGTTAAACATGGCCAGAGCCAAGGCCATGCCTATTCCCTTGTGCTATCCCACCCCCTTGCTCCAAAACAGGAATGTGCAGAAAAACAGCTTTGTTTGCCACCTCCATACTCACGTCTGAGGTCTGGGTGGTTGCAAAGGTGTGTGAAGGACTCCCACAGCTTCACTCTTTCATGCCTTGCACAGTTTAAGTCATAACCAGGTGTTTTTCCCCTTCCTGACATACTAAATTTGTTTCCAAAGCCAAGTCAGACTGATATGTTCCCCTCAAATTTCTGCAAAATCTTTATCTATTATTTCTGTGCATCAGCTGCTTCTCATCTTTGAAGAGCCCACTGACAGTTCCTGGGGATCTTTTCACACACTATCACATGAAGGACACGTCTTTCAGAAAACTAAATATCACAAATTTAATCATCACTGCTACCAGCCATAAGTCTTGGAGATCCAGGATAACTGTACAGTAAAAAGGGTAGTATGAGACTTGGCTATGATACAGTATGTCATTAATTAATACCGGGAAGTAATCACATACTGCAATAAACAGGACAATTCCGTGAATCAACAAGGTATCATGGTACAAGCTGTGACCAAACCAGACCTCTGTAAGTCACAAGGGGAACTCCATTCTCCATGAGGCTGGTGACTGTCCAGGAGGCGCTGGGCCAGATCTTGACACAAGCTATTTTTAAGTGTCAAGGAACCATTCAGAAGCACTCAGACATCCTTGAGAAAGAGGCCCAGCCACCAAGAGAGGAAAGAAAGGAGACAGTAAAAAAAAAAAAAAAAAAAAAAGGGGGGGGTGCGGGGAGGAGAGAGACACAATGCAGTATCAAAACTGAAAAGAAATCTGATTTCCTCACAAGTTTCAAGTGGAAGGACTGACCTGACACTAGTTATTTTATTTTCATGGTATTAAATAGCAGAATGACTTCATTTTGCCCTCAACTGACTGTGTGCGTCCCCAGCCCTCACCTCCAACAGGCAACCAGCAGTTAACAAAAATAGACTTTTACATTGTTCTGTGGATATTCTGAAAGAATTTCCTGTGCCAAGACCTTCTGATGATTTCTTCAGAACAGCTTAGGAAAGCCTGCCAAGAAAGCCTTTGTTTCTCTCCTCGCCAAGAAATCAAAGATGAAAAAAATTCTCTGTCAGGTAAAAGTAATTTTTAAATAGCTCTCTAGGTAAGCTCTGCTGTGACCACTCAGGTCCCCGTGATATTTATACTTCCCATGAAAGAAATGCAGTTTTAAAGCCGTTCCTAAACCAATAATCCAGCAATCTGAAGAAACTGAAGATTGACAGAAGTTTGCTAAGAATATAAAGGCCTTCTTGTGTTTGAGTACAGGTAAATAAGTTGTCGGTCACGTAGCCTGCTAAGCAGCAGAAGAAGGGAGAGCGCTCTGGAGCTCTTCTACACCTTTTTGCCTGGTTGAAGTGGGGCAACTTAGAAGCAGACCTTTCAGCTGGGGCAGTACCTTTGTCCAGACCCCCTTGTCTGAGTACAGAGGTTATCATCAGCACAACTTATATTTGCTACAATGTAACTGAAACTAGAAAAAAGCATTTTCAAAGATTGAAGAGTTGTCACCAGTTTAAGAACTGACAGTGCGTTGCAGCTAGTCTGTCAGCTAACAAGGAGTTGATACTACTATAACAAAGGCTGTATTCCAAGTCAGAGCACACTTCTACTTTCTAAAAACCACACTCTCCCAACAAGCAACTCATTCATAATACTGCAACAATTACAACAATCTGAACAGCAGCACAATTTCTCTTTTCTAAAAATAAGCTCATATTAAAGAACCCTTATAAGTAATTTACCTAACCTTGCCCTGCTCATTATCCATCAGGTAAAGAAATTTCAGTAAAAGTTGAACATTTTCTAATTATCCAATAAACTGTTCTACTTTAAAACATTAGTTCTCTGCCATTCTTACCTGTTTGAGTACATCTAATATGAGCTCATTAAAGACTTCATTGATTGCCATGGACACTGTCTGTCGGTCCATCCCTTTACTAAATTGCCCACTTCCAATGAGATCAATCAGCTCCCATGCAGAAAGACCTTCTCGACTGGTGTTCAGAGCGATCTTATAATGGTCAAACTGCTCTTGCTGCCAGCCTGCTCCCATTGCTTCGGTGAGTTTTTTAAGTAAATATTCAATCTGTACAGAAATACAAACAGAAATTAATCATTTGCAGCAGGCATGGAAATCAAGTGTTTCAGAGCTGTTAACTAAGCTTCTCTACAGACTGTCATTACAGTTAGATTCCTAAGTTCACATGTAGGCCCCTAAACGTAGGTGGTTTAATTAGAAAGATTTTAGGCTCCCGACTCCATTGACCTCTTGACTGCCGAGCCCATCCCGCAGCTACTCTCTTCATAGTAAAGAAACAAAGAATTGAACTGGACAGCCTCTTTCAGTATTTCAGATTCCTATGGAACACATGGGACCTTCCCTGCAACAGCTTCCAAACCACGATGACTGAAGTGTGAGAAACCATGAAGTTTCAAAAAGTAATCTTGTAAGATAAAAAGCAAACAAATTAGAAAAAATAAGAAAAGACAAGAGTTTGGACAAGAAGTGAAATGAAAAAGTACCAAGTTATGATCACCTATCTTAGTCTTCACCTGACCCCTCTTCTCCAGCTCTCAAGCACTCCACCGCTGGACACAATCTTGGCAGATGTATCAAGAGAAGTAAAAGAACAAATTCTTCACATCCACATTTATTGTTTCCAAAATAAACTCTCCTTTTCCTTTAATCTTTCATCATTCTGTAAGGATTACCAGACACAGGGCAATAACACTAATAACACTAGTAAAAATAAACACAAGAATGAAAGAGGGAAAGAAGCCTGGGTTTCTTCTTTTGTCTGTTTTTTTTAATGTTGTTTTTAACCTCATCACTGTTAGCTCTTTAAACAGTGCAGTATTCTAAACTAAGCCCATCTACAGCTTTGAGCACATGTAAAACGCTTTTAATGACTCTTTAAACAAAATAATTGGAGAGAGCTGTCCTACAAAGACCTCTACACAATAAAGTAAAAGCCATGCTCCTAAGTTTCTGTGACTGAAGTCACAGGATACCAATTACAGCATTTAACCCAGTTTTGAAGACAGACCAAGCGAATGTGGCCTTCTGCTATTTTGAGTAAGGCTCACTGCATGTCCTTGCCAGCTTTGCAGGGGACGAGACTGCCTTCAACAACCAGCCAAGGCAGACAGCAAAGCCGCCAGCACCCTCCCTAAGGGGGAAGCCTGGGGAGAGGGTGCTCAGTACCCCCGCACCGGACCGCCCTCCTGCACCAGCCCACCGCAGGGACGGGGCAGCACCAGCTCTCCCAAGGGCTGGCCTTTCTCTGCAGCCACCACAAAGCCAGCACAGACCCACCTCCCAGTAGGTCGGTCCACAAAGCTGCAGGCGAGGACTCATCCTGGCTGCCCTGCTTCTCGACAGGCATGCGGGATGCGACAGGGTGGGAGCTGCACGCTGCCCCGTGGAGGTGGGGGGGAAAGAAACACCATCCTTTCGGGTTCTCCCTGTGCACGTGGAAGTGACATGGATTTCCTTAAGTGCTGCTTCTCTGAAGCTTAGTCCTTCAGGACAGTCTGCTCCACTTTCAGTTTACCTACTTTAGGTGTGGTTTTGGAAACACTAGCTAAGCAACTCAGGAGTCTGAATCCCATTATCAAAACTGACCAAGGTGTACAGTGTGAACGCGCCTCATTGAAAAGTGGTGGAAATCAAATGATTTCTAGGACTTCATTTTTCTAAACATCAATGCTGTTTTGCCTCTCCGGCAAAACAGAGGTTTGTGCCTCCACACTGCTTGAAAACGCAATGTAATTTCTCCTACAGGTAAGAAAAACCCTGGCTGAGAGCGCCAAAGGATGTTTCACCGCAGAATAAATTAACTTTTCAGCTACACCTCAGAGTCACCTTTCAGCTGGTCTAATAGGCTTTTGAGCTCCCAGCAGCGTCTACCTAAGAGATTTGCAAGTACAAAGAAGTAAAGAGGTGGTTTTTCCCCAAAACATTTCACTGCAAGGACTCCCAGGCCCCAAGGTTTTGATGCAGCACATACCAATTTTGTGGCCGCTGCTTCTCTCTCTTGCAACAGGTACAGGCAAATCCCTTCCTTTCCCTCACATCTATGATCAAGAAACACACAAGTGTGTAACTGAACACACTCATCTGGCAATGCAGTAAATTACCAAATTCATCCTACAGATGGGTGGGCTTTTCTTCTTATTTCAGCTCAGTAACTGCTCTTAGTCTTACAGCCCCTACTCCAGTAGCACATGGACTAACGCTACAGCAAAATGGAAAAAGCTACTTAAAGCTGCTGCACTGTCTAGAGGAAAGTTCCTGCTCTGTCGAATGCGCAGGAAGCACATAAGACGTGGCTCTCGTATCCTCCTCGTCAAGATCGTCTTAGGAGAAGACAGGCTAGCCAGGCACAGCGTACACCTCCAGGGTGGGTACAGAAGTTGTAAAGAGCATTGCTTTTCCTTTCAGCTTCACCAAGCAAGACATTTAAGTACTTTTAGCTCCTCGTGCCATTCTTACTAGCAAAGATATGATCTGAACGGAGGCCTCTGCAAAAGTGGCATTCAACCTGTAGACAGGTGCAGCTAACACAGGGTACAAGGTTTATGGCAGTCAGCAAAGACGACTTTCAGCTCTGTGCTGTGCCCGTCCGCCATCTGAGGCGCGCAGCCCCCAGGGAGGGCACACCTGCACAGCCGCCTCGCCCCCTCCACGCAGGCGCTGCGGCGCCCGGGCTCCGCCGTGCGACGTTCACCGCTGCTCATATTCAGACTATTCACCAGAACAAGTCACAAAACTGTGGTTCCACACACAGCGCTGAATCACTGAAGTTAATACACTCACATGACAGCAAGGAAATTTTAGCATGCCCTCCCAAGCAGCCAACATATAACTTTTACTAGATTTCTGTAAAATTCAGTAACCAATTCCTTTAAAAATCTTTAAAATATGCTTTGCTGATTTTCACTCTCCAAAATCCTTAAGTTAAAAAACTAATCCAAGGCTTTTGAGCATCAACTACCATAAATCCTCAGCATTCAGTTAAAGGCAGGAAGCAGCTTACTTCCTACTCCAGACAAGTTTTACAGAAAAAAACAACCCAAGAAAGCCCTTCACAGCATGCAAGAACAGTAGCACTGTAAGCTTGTTTCAGAACAAACCCCCTAAAACCTGGATTTGATGAGCTGAAATGAACTCTGGCATCAATGCAGGAGTAACTTTTTTCCCTGTGTTCAAAATATATTCTGCCACTCAGCTCCATCCCTCCGAGCAGCATCAGTTCTGAACTACAATCCTGTACTTTGGCTGAAAGGAAAGCTAGAATAACTGAGGCTTAATTAGGTAGATAATATACCTGTCAAAATGATAGACAGTAATTAAAAAAAAAAAAATCATTAAAACTTAACGAACTCTAACTTTAAAATGTATTGTTCCAAGTTTTCACAACCTATTACACTGCTTGAGGCATGCAGCTCTCAAATTCCTTTGGTTAATTATCTCAGAGTACTAGGACTCACTTGCAGACAAAGGGACACACACAAAAAAATCATACCTGAATAGATTTTTTCACTTTCTTTGCTCAAGCTATATGTTTTGTTCATATGTCAAGCTAATGGTCTGGAAAAGAAGCAATGCAAAACTCTTGGCTAGTAATTAATGCACTAAAAATAAGTCAACATATCCTTTCCTTTAATGTCATTTGTACACATTTTATCTTATTTTATTAGAACAGATTTAAACATTTAGGTCTGCTAACCCCCATCTACAAGTCACTAACATGACCAAAAAAATCCTATAATCCTATTAAGGTACATAAAATATCTCATTATTTTAAAATACATTAACTCTTCTTAACCAAAAAAGGATCTGTGCATATTACAATTTAATTTCTAAAATAAAAAAAATTCAAGCTTTATCTTGCATTCAGAGAAGTGCATGGCTAACCAAACTCCCCAGAAAAATTTTATCTAACATTTCTGCTCAATTACAACACTGAAAGTTGTGATGGGGTATAAATGTGGAACAGTGAGAGGTAAATACAAAGAAATAAGTTGGATCAGTGTGGAAGCAAATAAGAGACCATTCATTATGTGCTCAAATGAGGAACCTCTGAGACCAAACGACATTTCCCCTCCTCCACAAAGAGACATGTCAACTCAGCAAATAACTGACAAATTAAGTCTACTGGCTTAAACATAACCTCCTCTTGTGGCTAAAAAGTAGAGTGTTGAAAAGCAAATGGGAGCAATGTTTGCTGCTATTCTGACTGGACCTTACTTTCAGATATGGATGTAAAAACACGGCAGGGTTGCTAACGTTACACATACACCAGTATGGACCAACTGGCTCCACAGTATGAAAAACAGCTTCCATCTCAAATCAACAGAAACTTTTCAGTCAGAATTTTACCAAGAGAAAGCAAAAAAAATATAAAGAACAGAGGCCCTTTAACATGAGCTATGCAGCCTGTTTGGTATCTCCTTTCAGAGGGCACTTTCTTTTCCCATGTTTCAATACCTATTTGTTTTTCTTTTCCAGGTATTCCTGGCACTGTCCTCCATGGGGAATGAAGTATCATAGATGTTTCACATTTTTCTGATATACAAGTGGGTGTCTCAGAAGATGAAAAATGAAAAATAATGTTAAGGAGGCCTTCATGCCCAGCAGAGCACAGCAGACAAGGCTATTCTAGTTCATACTATTCAAATAAGGTCTGTGGTATTAACAGAGCAGATGTAAAAAAGTCTATTCACATTGTACAAAATTCTGTGGAAGCACAGGTTACTAGGCAAGAGACATAAAAGCAATCATATCCCCTTCCACAGTCATCATCAACTCCTTTTTTGCATCCCAGCAGAACACCACTTACTTTGAAGTCAAATATTTGTTTCTTCCCTTCCACCAATAGAACTGTGTTCATTTTTAAATTGCATTAGCATTTAGTAGTATAATAAAGGTCAACTCAAAACACAGTGTAATGTATAAACATGTAAATCCCAAGGACAACCTGCTGCATAAGCTGAAAACTGTCTTATTTTTTGCAGCAATCAAGGAAAAGAGTAGCAAAATGGGAAGAACTGATGCAAGTCATGACTAAAAATCTTTCTAACCATCATCATCAACTTGTAGAGATCATGGGTCAATTAAAAACCCGCACAAGCAGCTTTCATCCTAGTTGTATCAGTTTTGATTTTATTTCTGAATGGCCAAGGTTCAACTCCCAGTATTTCATTCACTGTAGCAGTTTCTGATACTAGAATGCAGAACAAGTAAGCAAACATAGTAACAAAAAAAACCTTTTTCTGCAAGAAATGCCACCACAAGAATCACCACTGGACAGCTTCAGACTCTCACCTCCTCAGTCTAAAACAAATCACCTCATTTTCAAATGCACAGAAAGCCACACAAGGTTTGAACCCTCTTTGTCCTAACTAGGAGAATTAGAAATGCCACATGTTGATACAGTTGAAGTCTAGAGGACAAGCAAAAAATAACTGTACAAATCATCTTTCTTCAAGAAGCCAGGCTTAAAAAGCAAAGACAGCAAATACATTTGACTTACTTAAAACAAGTCAACGTGAACACTAGATTACAACACACAGAGTACAGAGCTTGCAGCATACGTATCTGTGAGTTTCACCATTAAGGATGGCCCAGAAACACAGCTAACCACATACCACAGCTTTCAGGCGATAAAGCATTCCCAAGGCTGCAGTCACATGTCCAGAAATAAGAAAGGGGAAGTGTTTGGAAACTTTTTTATAAAACAGAAAACATCTGGTTAAACAATACCAAGGCACACAAGTGAGTCTGTAACAACTAAGAAGTCAGTTGTAAGGAAAGCTCATGACAGACTAGAAATAGTTCTCCTCTTATGGCTACAGTTCTCTCCACCTTTCTTCCCTTTATTTTATCCTTCTCATGGAAGGGGTAATGCCTGTGAGAGCTGAAGGAAAGACACACTTGGATGTCTGCATCTCATATGATCTAGTAGAACAGACCAGCTGCGGGGAGGGGAAGGAGCTCCCACCCGGCCCCCCGCTTTCCGGGCGCATTAGCAGTATAGCTCCTTGGTAAAGCTCTGCCCCTGCACCGGGGGCAATTCGGCTGTTAGCCGAGAATTGTATTAATTCTGAAAGCTGGCCATCAGGACTAATTTTAACTAGAGCAGACCAAATACAGCATTTTCCTCCAGTCCATCTGTATCTTTTTGAAATACCACATTTACCCAGTTCACAGAATAGCATACCAAGGCTTCTCACTTGAAAGGGGAGGGAGCCTTCAGATTTGATACCATTCTGCATTTTCCTGGGATATGAGCACCTTTGCAAAATAGACATTCACGGATCTCTGCTCCTTTCCAACTCTCCTAACTGCTCTCAGCTGCCCACCAGTAGCCAGCAGAAGCAACACTGGAGCCCAAGGCCGTTACCAGCTGAGTCCCAGTGCCCAGCACAGCCGCCAGCTCCCGTCTCTCTGGGACTTCTCCCCATAACAGAAGGATCCTCTCAAGCTTGAAGTCACATCCCAAAAGCGCACACCCCAACCAAAGCCCTTCCCCACGCTGGACTTTACTAACCTTATTTCCCTCAAGTGCAGGGCTGCCATCTCTCTTTCCACAGCAGGTGAGGAGCGCGGGCCAGACTCTGCCTCTGGCTTTCTGTCCGGCCTCTGCTAAACAAGCAACTTCTGGCCCTTTTGTCACCCCTCTACTGCTTTCAAATTCCCTCTTTGTAACTGCTTTCCTCACTTTGCTCTTTCTAAAGCTTTCCTCAGCCTGCATCTCTGAAACCTTTCCAGAGCAGCCTGTTTTCCCTTCTCTGGTTGAGCTGCAGCTGTTCCCAATTTGCTGCCTGTTCAACACCTGGGCAGGGAATCAAGACTTAACATTTTGCAGATGGGGGTAACAGCCCCACCACTATTAGCTGTCTAATATGAAAGACCTAGCACAGCAGCACTAGTCCAAAAGTACACAATACGGGCAAGAAGGAAGGACAGCAGCCTCAGTCTTTAGTCAGTGCAGCGCAAAGGTGAAACTGCACGCAAGCAGGAGAATTTTCCAGATATGAAATTGTTCAAATGAGTGCAGAAACCACTTACCTCATTAAAAAAAAAAAAAAAAAAAAAAAATCAGACCCCCAAGCAGGTCTCAAAGAGCAGCTCCTCCAAGGAGGAGGAAAAGGCATCCTCATGGCCACATGAAGTTGTATCAACACATACACTGGAAACCTAAGACATTCTCTCTATTTAATCTTCCCATCCACAAGATGGGATGCAAAAAATCTTCAAGGGATCACCCTTCCAACCTGAAAGTAAGAGGCAAGTTTCCTAGTTACTTATAAAGGGGAAACAAAATCTCTGAAACCCAAAAGCCTATGAGGTGGAAGGGAGGGAGGAGGGGAAACAGCTGGATCCCACACAAAGGACTCCAAGCCAGAAACTGCAGTAAATTCTGTGTCGCAATATTCTCAGCCAGCAATAAGAGCAACAGACAGGGAGGGAAGGAAAGCTTGCTCCCTGGCTGGGAAGCTATAGTCACGTGAGAGATTTACATTGCTCTCACCAAAACATAAACATCACAGAACAGTGATGCTTCCATCGCCCTCTCCTCTGTTCTTCACTTTGCAAAAATCCCCTCACTTTATACATGATGTGCAAGCCATTTTGTAATTAAATGAAAGGATGCAATATAAAGTGGTGAAGACTAAATATATAACCATGCTTTATTATGAACTCAAGAGGCCTGAAAAGTAAATGGAAAGAAAAATATCTTTGCTAGGTACCAGTATCATTTTTCAATAATACTGAAAAGCGTTATTTTCAGGTAGAAATTCTCAGCACTAAGACAGCAACTATGAGTTTGTACAAAAAAATACTTTGCAAATCTGGAGTTTAGATTTAACTTTAAAAAAGCCAGACACAAAAACTTAAAAGGCAGGTATGGAAGGTCACACAGAGAAGAAGTAAAACTGACTGAAATTGTAACTTTGCACCTTTACTTTTGGAATTTTGTGTAAAAGGGTAAATGAACAAATGTGGAATTTTCCAGAAGCACAGAGAACCCGAGGAGGATGAATGCAAACCAGAAAGGAGGGCGTTACACAGACAGCATTCCTCCACCGGCTGATTACATTACCTGTGTGGTCTAAGGCAAAAGGTCAGAGTGAATACAGGCATTGTATATGATAAGAACAGAGCAGCCTTTCTTTGTCAGGCTCTATATGCTTTCTTTAAACAGTATTGCACAATTTAAATGTTGCCATAATCAAGGAGATGAAGACACAGACCCACCCTAAGAACTTTAAAAATAATCCAAGTAGAAGAGCAACACAGGTTAACCCTGGACATTAAGGATGGGAAGGAAAGCGAACAGCAGCAGCTATGAAGTACGGAAAACTTCTTTTGGGCTCAGAGCCAACTCTGCAGCTCGTCTGCCAACAAATGGACACGTTGCCATTACCCAGCATCAGCTACAGAAGGCAGCATGAATCTGGGGGCTTGGTTGGTGGAGGGGGAGCAAGTGAGCAATGCTGATGTCCCAGAGCTGGCAGGTCTGAAGCTTTTAACCATGCCAACAAATAAGGAGATGTGAAATACCTACCTTCAGGTAAGCCAGGCTGTGCAGTGGGGAACACAATGACAAACCAGAGATGTGGATTTGTGTCCCAGTTTTGACATTTATTAGTGGCTCTGACATTCTACCAAAGCCAAATCTGGCACCGTTAAGAAAGGAGCTATCTTAGGTCCTCCTCCTTATAACTAGGATCCCTGTCTCCCAGAACTGACAGAAAAAACGGGAAAGCAAGCAAGAATACCGTCTCATTTCCCATGGGAATAGAGCATGCCAGGTAGGGCCCTGTCATCACCAGTCTGGCAAAATCAGAAACATTGTACAGATTGAAAGTCTCCTGCTCAATGGCGAGAGAGAAAGCAAAACCAAGCAGTTTATTTTGATAGGGGAGTTATCTGTACTTTATGGTTTGGCACAACAGCTTGGAGTCCAACAGTTATGTGACAGTGGCATGTAAATCAGACTGTTCTGATCCCTCACTGTTAACAATTTGCAAGTATTTATTAACCAGTGTTCCAGCACTGAACTGCAAACCACTGGGATTTCTGTATATAGTTTTGCAAGAGATTATTTATGCCTACAGTTCTGATCTTTCTGCTTCTTCCCTCGCCCCTCCCCAAGGGGAGAATAGCAGAGATACCAAAATCTTGCTTTAGGGTTAAAATACCTATTTGAGCGTTGCCCATACTTGTTCGTGAACTTCAAGTATAGAGATCTCTCTGGTATTATTCCTTCAACCATTTCAAGCAAGAGTGTTCAGGTGGTGGCTGCTTTTGATCAGACACAGACATCATCAGAAAAGTTCATACTTCTCCTTTTCATCAGGAGGGTGACATGAGACTGAAGACTCATGTTGCAAGTCACGGTAACACAGAGCAGAGGGAAGAATTTTTTTTCAGAATCACACTGATGTACTACTGTGCAAAATTTTAATTCCATAAGCAAGTGCAGTGATTAAAGATCACATACATGCACTACTCATGAGTGAAGTGAGAACCTCAACAGCTCCAAATGCTGGTACTGGAGCTAGTCTCCCCAGCACCAGTCAGTCCTCACAAAAAGCAAAATAGGCTGTTTACTGGGGTGCAAGCAGCAGGTCCCATTTAATCCAGGCTGTTTAAATGACAGACACGCACAGCCATCAATATCTAAAGTATCCTGTGGGAATCCCCGCATATGCACCCTGGAAGACAAAGAAAAGCACCCAAGGCCTTACATTATTAAAGGAGGGGAATAAAATTTTTATACTAAATAATTATTTTATCTTAAATCTCTAGAGAGTAGCAAACATTAACATAGTTCAACTGGGACATTAAGCAAACTGGTGTTAAACAGCTTAAGTTTTTGTTTCTTACCTCCTCAGGTACAATGATTAAAGGGTATTTGTCCTCTGATAAGAAGTTAAAAATAACCCACACTTTAAATGCATCTTCATCACTGATCAGCAAAGGACTTCTAGAGAGGTTCTTTTTAGCACAGAGAGTCCAGCACATCCTATTGAATTCAACTTTGTCAAAGTTTCCTTGAACCTAAAGTGAAGAAATTGAACAAAAAAAATTAATATGCACAAATGGCACAGAATAACAGACAGACAAAGTTTAACAGGCTAAGTCACACAAAAAGCACAGAGAAAATTCTAGTTTGCAAGAAATGCCAAGGCCCCAAAAGAACACCATAGCAACCTAGACTGATTTCCTGCATGGGGTCAACTAAGGAATTTCTTCCGGCAAAATCTACATCCAACCTCCAATTTCTGGTGAAGTTAATAACACCCTGACTTCATGTGAGGAGGCTACACTGCATTCTGTGTTTCCCCTAGCACATTAGCTTCAGCTTCCAAACCATCTTCATAACTGTCTCAGTTCCAGCTGCCTGCCCTTCTGTTGCACTGCGTTACTGAGATTTTATATAGCAAATTTGGAAGCCAATATAGCCAAAACTACACGTGGATATGCTAAAAGCGATATTGGAACAACAGCTGGGAAATACCTTTAATATGTTTTTCTCCTTCATGTTACTCAAATGTAACTCTTGTAGGATATTCATAAACATGTAATCATTTTTTTCTCGAACGCTAATCCACTTAAAACCTTTCCTTTTTCTCAGATTTGCAAATCTTCACCTTACTGATAAAAAAATTCCTCTTGTTTTCATTATCCTTTATCATACCTAGCAACTGTACATACCCATCTGTGAATTATTTACATATGCAAAAGCTTTCATTTCCTCTATTTTCTTTTTAAACCCTCATTTATGTTAGAGATTAAATCTATTTATCTCCCTACAGCTTAGCAATGCTATTTCTTTGCCAACATGTAACTGATAAAGGCATGTTCTGCACCGCAATGGAAGTCCAGAGAGATTTCAGAAGGCAAGCCTAAGAAACAGGTTCTTGTACCTCTGGCGGTAACACCACCAGTAATGTTCAGCGACGTTTTCTTAATGACAGGCCAAACCATGCATCTTCAAGGACACCACTGCAAACTGTATGATTTCCTATCCAGTCTGGTAAGTGGTCAAATACAGTGGAGGGTGAGCCACAGTGGCTAAGTCAAAGATAGACTAAGGAAGCGAACTGGTGTGGGGGGAGGAAAAAAAAAAAAAAAAAAAAAAAAGCAGCACTTTACAGTACAGTTTCCAGGACTAAAAGTGAGACTATGAAAGAAAGCCATAGAGTTTGCATGCTTGCAGAGCGGGCCACCAATGTAAGTGATGATGCAAGGCTACAGCTGTCCTTTGAAGCAGATGGAAGCTGTAGGAGCTATCGCTGCTATAGCCACAAGCTCAGCATCCTGGTTGTTCGCACAAGAAACATGGGTCTTAAATGAAACACCAGCTAAGCGAACGAACACCCTTTGGAAGAAGGGCTAGAAGCCAGGTTTCCTTCTTCCTTCAACGTGCCAGCGCCTCATCCCTTGGCTACTTTTGCCTGTGTTTTTTCCTGTCTGTCCTCCCTGCCCAGCGAAGCTTGACTTCTTGTGTAAAACAGCTTCACCCACCCAGATGATGAGCAATTCCACCTTGGAAATGTCCTAACGGTTACTCCCCAGGAAGATGCCACCAGGGTAGGAAATCTCCTTTCCTATAGCCACCGCCTGGCAAGCGCTCTAAGCACAACAAACAAGGTGGGTTGCTCTACGAGCAGCTCGTGTTTTAAAGCACAGCAGCAATCAACGACCACAGGGAGACGGGTGGAGGAAGGCACGGGCCCTGCCCGGGGTAAAGGAAAATTTTCATGGCTTCTGCTCACGTAGCAAAGTTGGACTGCGTGCGCCTCAGAAACTTGTGTCAAAACCCAAGTCACCTACAGCATGTTACTGCCACCAGGGTTAGGCAGCAGCCAAGCAGGAGGTTTCAGGGCCATTTTGCCGCAGGGGACTAGGTTGTGCTGTGCCAGCAGTCCCACTTTAGACGTAAAAGTCCTTTTTCCAGAATCCAGACTTGATTCTGAAATGGACTTCATGGGGCCCACATGTCATCCAGAGCAGAGACACTGTTTAGGAATTATTCAGGAACAATAATCAGATGAGCACACAGGCTCCAGCTTTCCAAAATAACTCTGATTCACATCTTTGGGGGTTTTTTTTCCTAAATTATCAGGCTGGCTGTTAAATAAAGGATATAATCACAAAATTGCTTTTCTGGGGATATTGGGAGTTGGGGATGGAACTAAATAGTTCTCTTTAATGAAGAACAAAAATTTCCCTCAGCAATTTCATGTAGCAATGCCAACTATTCCTGATACCTATGTTCTACAAGTACATCTGCATGGTGTGGGAGGGGAAGGAAGGTGAAAATCCCGCTAAATCCAAATTGCTTTAGAGCTAACTCCATGCTACAAAAGTCTTGGTTGTGCTACTTCGGCTTCCTTGCCTGGCAACACTCCACTGTAGGTTGCTACCTAATAATGAATAATCTCTCTGGATTTATGACAGATCATTTCTAAGCATAGTTTCAAAAATTAAAAATATTTGAATAGTTTCTAAAGTTATAGTTGAACTTACTTGCAAAAGTACTTCTAACTTAGTTTAACTGTAAAAGTAGAAATTTTTCAAACAGGAGGAACAGATGGTAAAAAAACTCAGTCATAAACCCATATACACATTGCTTTTTCATGACATGAACAAAACACATATTTATAAAATAGATTGGGTCAGGCTACCCTGGTATTTAAATCTAAAGAGAATTCCCCCAAACTTCTTTAATTACAGTGAGACTCTACTATGAATCCTAAACTGAAATCATCTTGAAGTGAAACTAAAACAAGAAATTTATGACACTCTGCTGAGAAACCAGTATTTTAGTTCTACTTGGCCAGAATACTCATCCTGCTTGCAACCTGTGTGAATATCACACAATTCCATTGCTTAATTAATTAATAAATCCTTGTACAAGAGATTTTTCCTGTGCACTACTACATGCTTTTAACTGTACTTCATAATTTATACAAATTATTTGAAGTCACGATTTCATTTGGAAACTTCTACACTACTCCATACTATTAACTCTACAGCAACTATTACTTTTATTTGTGAATCTGTCCAAATGATGAAACATGCAAATGAACTGACCCCTCCAACCTTAAAACCGCTTAAACTCATAGAGGTAAAAACATGTTCTATGAAAGACACCTACCTTCCCTTTCTAAGAAGTTTCACAAAATAATCAAAAGAAAAATGCAGCAAACCCCATAGAATTTTCTAGATCTTTTATTTCTACTAATATGCAAAATATAATTTAACATCACCACTATCTTACCAAATAACTCTAAAAAAAAAAAGGAAATACAGAAATTATTTGTTTGAAGTACCAGTGAACAGATCAGTTCCAAAAATATAACAAGCATCGGTAGTGTAACTAACATTCACTAAGTTGTCTGGAAGATGAGATAACCTATGGTTTAAGAACAACGTCCTTCTTTGTCTCCCCCCATTATGACTCTTCTCTGCTATAAATAAGGCATGTTGTAAAATACCGCCATCACCATCATTGAAAAGCAAATATTTTCAATTGGTATTAAAAGACATACATTGTAAATAATGGAACATGCTAAAATATGGTTATGAAACCAAGTAAAACAAATTACGAAGACATTATATTGGCAAGTGACAGCTCCCTCCCGAAAGGGACACTTACAGAACAAGAATAAATTTTGTTTCAGATGCAAGAAAATCCTAGATACATCTATCTGCTAAGTAACATGCAGCACAATACCAGAAATCATCAACTAGGCAATACTAATTATTCAAACTGTTTATTCAAATTCCCTATTTGGATAAAGGAAATTAGTTGCAACCAATTTGCCTCATTAAACTACCAGCTTGTGCCTTTCTTGATGATTCCTTGGTTCTATATAAAGAGGCTTTACTGCAGGGTACCACAGGGTAAGCCAGCACTAAAAAGTATAAACAGCTGCAACTGCATTTAAGAATACAACAGAAGTTATTTCAAAAGGTTACAAAGTCCTCTCAATAAAATTATAAGTCACAGTTACACATCTGTTTTAAAAGAAATCTAAGGATTCATTCTTTAAATATTTTACTGATGTTTTAAAGCAAAGTATCTTGAGATCAAAAAAACCTATCTTGAGCAGGTTGCTCTTGCTCAAATCAATTAATTCACCAGAAGATGTATGGCTGGAAACTGAGAGATCTTCCTCTGTATTTTGGGGTGTAAAGCACCAGTCCTTCTTTAGGAACTTTACTTACTAGCATAAATTAATAGCATTTGTTCTACAATCACCCCATCTAAAAGAACAGATTACGCCTTGGAAGAATGAAAAAAAGAAGGGGCTTCTTGTTTGCTTTTTTTGCTTGTTTGTTTTAAACAAAGGAGACGCGCTATGAACCAGTGACTTCATCCCACTGCATGTTGTCTTTTGGCACTGATGTAAAGTCAACTCTAAAAGATGAGATGTCACAACCAAGATTTTTCCAGTCCACAAAGATAACCTTGTGTCTAAAAAATTTCACTAATTTTTAATAGTACATATCCAAACCATTTACAAGCATTTAGTCAGGATTAAATAATTTAATCCTGTTCCTTAACAATTTCATCTTTTAAGACGAACTAATGGTATGGGTGTATCAGGCAATTATTGCAAGCCAGATCAGTGTATGAATAAAACAAAACAAGAAACTACAGGCAGTCATGCTCTTTCCTTTCAAGAGAAAGCAAGGCAAGCTTCTTTGTTTTTACCATGGGGCAACAAGGTGCCCCAAAGTACCTAAACACTGTAAATTCACACCAACTTGGCTTACATAGCCAGGTCTTTCATTTTCAAAGTGTAATTTAAATGCAATTGCTCCTCATTTCTGTAACTATTCTTCCTATAAACACCCTTTAACAATAAAGCACGTTTATATTTGAAAAAGCCTTCGAACTCTTTTTTTTCCCCCACTTAATGGCTTGCTACTGCCTACAAATAGTATTAACAAAACCTGCTGTGGTTCAGACTCTACTACTGTAATCCTCTGGTCAAAATAAAGTAAGGCCTTTTCTTTTTCCCCAGAATTTGTATACAAACTGCTTTGTCTCCGCTGAATCTTAAAGGAGCTCAGACAGCCAACACGAAGCAGAAATGAGATCACAAACTTCTTAGGGACAAAGCAAGATTCTTCAGCATCAAACAACCAAGACATTAAGCAGGTACCTTTATGCATATTAACAGCCAACAAATCCCACACATAAAACAGGACACTATTGCTGAGTATGAGAGCAACACAGACTAGAGAAGCAGAGGAGCTGCTAAGTCTTAGCTAGATATAAGAAGCTTCTACTGCTTCCAAGCTGCCAGACTGCATTATATATATATATAACATTTTCCACCAGTATTAAATGTAGATTAAAGCAGCAGCAAAAAATCAGCAAATCAGGCTAAGGAGTTTGCATAATCTGCAATTGCTGCATTGGACTTTTTAGCAGCATGTCAGTTCAGGACTTCTTAACTTTATAAAAGGAAGCAAGCATCTGTGTATCTCTGCAGCCACAACATCAAAGTTTGAGGGTTTCTGGGGCCAGCCCCCAAGCATATGAGAAATCAGTGGTATTGAAGCTCATATGTTTGCACGATCACATGGGCTAGTTATTACTGTCTAGAGCAGTATCTCAACAGAAGTTGTCAGAAAAAAAGCAGGAAGATAGTTTTTGTTTTTACTTTGAAGCCCAGTGACTACCTATCTTAGAACAAGAGGAAAGGAGAGTAGGGGAAACCCTGCTGGCTTTCCAGAGCTTCCCCCCAAAACAAGGCACAACAGAAGACTGAAGAGTGCTCAGACACGAAAGGAAAGAACTTGCAAGACGAAACTTAACAACATTCCCTAATGTCACTCACAGTAACTATTTGAAGGGATCCATTTATTAAAATACCTTGTGAATAGACAGTAAAGATATTTTTGCCCTTCTTGTTTGCAAAGGAGTCTATGACAATATTCTGTTATAGCCATAGTATAAAGTGGGACAACCTGTAGCTCCAAGACACTTTCAAATAAATTCAAGCTGAGGTGCTTTACTAATACGAACATGGTTCTACATTAACACAGCTTAGACAATTACCAGATGTAACAGGAAATAGAAACCAAGGAGAGAAAAAAGAAGTAGAGAACAGTACACCCTTCCATTTTAAGATGTGGGCTCTCCAGAGCACCCGCCCCATCACGACCCCACACAGGCACACTCACAGCCAGAGCGTCTTCACACCAGCATGCTTCCTGCAAGCAGAAGTCTACTGTAAAGACACTCTAATACAAAGCCAATAAAGGGAAAAACAGAACACAAGAATTCAAAACTTACCTTTTCCAAGATAAATTTGTTTAGATAAGGCATGTAACCCTGATTGGAAACTGGTCCTTCATCATCGTCCCTAAAGTGCTCCTCCAAGGCCACTGGATCGTGGGGAACATTTAACACTGTGCACAAGTTGTGAGAAAGGACCTAAGGACATAAGAGAAATCAGTGACATTGCTGTGGGCCTTAACCACGCTGTATTCCCTCCGCAGCAGACCCGTGATTCGCAAAACTACGTGCAAAGTGACACTTTCATGTCAGCACAAGTTCTGCCCCGCGGATTTTTGTCAAAAAACAAAACGTAAATAAAAAAGTTGACTCTGAGGATTCAATGACTTCAGACAGTTGCACGTTTACAGAAGCAATGCGATCACGGATAGGTCTGTTCCTACAGAAGGGCAAACACAGCTACAGAAGCTACCCTTTGTACACATATACTTATGCATTTGAAAACCAGGAGGGGCATGCAGAAACACAGATTGAAATTAGATAGCTATGGAAAACAACCACAAACACCTAGCCTTCGAAATTAGAAATATTTACTATCTAGTGAAAACGAGTAACAAAGAAAACAACTCAATATGTACCCTTAGTTTACAAAGAAATGACCACTCAAATTAAAGCATTAACTATGGATTTCTTCCATCTGCTTGCTTTTGGGTTGCTTCTCAGCATTCACCTCATGTTTCATTTGGCAAAGAAAAAGCAATGTTACAGAAAGGGGAAGGGTTTAGGTGTGCTTCTCAAATTTTTATTTTAAAAAGGTATTTGCATGCATTATGTCAAGAGCTTAACACCCACCAGCACTCATGTCTGTTCTTGAGAAATGACCTTCAAGAAGAGGCTACATGCTTCATCAGTTTTAAGGAAGTACTGAATTATCAAAAACTAACTGGTAGCCAATGCATCTCAACTTCTTCAACTTAGGCTGTTTTGCAAGCACAAACTAATGCCTCAGAGCCTAGCAGCGACCCCTGTGCCACCAGCACTTTCCTAAGAAAGGTGAAGCACCCTCCCTTTTGTTGTTCACGCTGTCTCGAGTCAGGTCAGTCCCGTAACACGCTGCCCACTGGGTCTTAAACACGCTGTCACTCGGGAGCCCTCTCCCCTTGCCATGATGCAGAGTTAAGCCTCTGAAGACCATGTACCGGCTACAGGAACTGGGTTAAGGACTTAACTTCACATGCCAGGAATGGTCTGCGTTGACAAAATGTAACTAAGAACCAAAGGCAAAAAATACAGGTAAAACAAAATTAGGCAGAAGTAAAACAGACTGCATCTTTTGAAAAGGCATGCTGCTTGTGGTATTTTTTTTTTAAATCAACAACTAGATGGCACAGACTGCAGCTGAATTTTGGTGTATGTTTTACTTTTTCACTGTGCAGCATAAAATTAAAAAAAAATCAGACCCATATGATGCAAAGAGAAAGCAGTAAAAAAATGTGCAGAAAATTTATAAGCGGGTCTATTTAGGTGAGTAGACATGAAGCGGTCAAGATGGGGTAGCTGGAAAACAAGAAGTGAAAGTCTGAAGTCGTCAAAGCCTAGGAAATCAAACCCATGCCACACACTTAAAATGTCTGGGCTTCCCCCACTCAAAAAAATAATGTACATTTGCTGTTCTTATGTATGATAAGGAGATATGCAGAGTCTAAGAGATAGTTCGCATAAAATCCTACAAAGCCCAAGATGCAAGTTCAGTTCAGAGGAGAATTCCTCTCTACGTACCTCTGAAGTTACACTTTCTTTTAGAAAAGCACACATTTCCATGAGAAATACATATTTTCATTGCCATATGCTAACATTTGGGCCCCTCACTACGGGAAAGACATTGAGGTGCTGGAGTGTGTCCAGAGAAGGGCAACCAAGTTGGTGAGGGGCCTGGAGCACAAGTCTGATGAGGAGCAGCTGAGGGAACTGGGGCTGTTCAGCCTGGAGAAAAGGAGGCTGAGGGGAGACCTTATCGCTCTCTGTAACTGCCTGAAGGGGGGTTGTAGTGAGGTGGGTGTTGTTCTCTTCTATCAGGTAACTAGTGATAGGACGAGAGGAAATGGCCTCACGTTGCGGCAGGGGAGGTTTAGATTGGATATTAGGAAAAAATTCTTGACCAAAAGGGTTGTCCGGTATTGGAACAGGCTGCTCAGGGAAGTGGTGGAGTCACCATCCCTGGAGGTATTCAAAAAGCACATAGACAAGGCACTTCAGGACATGGTTTAGTGGGCATAGTTGATGGTTGGACTCGATGATCTTGAAGGTCTTTTCCAACCTAAATGATTCTATGATTAAGCCACTGGAACTAACCAGGTGCAGAAGCTTAAAAACAGTAGCATTAACCATATCACAACAAAAGCTGTATTTCCCAAAGTAACAAAATAGTATTTAGAAGTTACCACATTTCACACTACCCTCCATCAACAGTGTATCTCCCTTCAATCTATCCTTATTTTTAACCACCACATCGAATCAAGTATTTGAGTCCATGTGATTTACATATGGGGAGGGGAAACATACTATCATGCGTGTTTCCCCTTCTATTTAAGGCTTATGTTGTTATTTATAGAAGACTGCGGGATTCTTGAAGATGAGCTCAGTTTTCCAACCAGACTGTAGTTGCTAATACTATAACTAAAAAAAAATACTCAGCTAATAAAAATATTCTAAAAGCATAACTGATTTAAGCTTATTACCAAAAGAACTTAAAAGTCTCAACAAAAGACCTTCTCATCATGTCCTTTCTACATGCTTCTCTTCTCCCTTTTTTGGCCTTCTTGCTGTGCTTGGGTTGTCAGAAACCTAGGTGGTTTTCCACATCAAGCAACTAATTACCAGGAAAGAATTCCACTTTCAATCATTTTGTAAGATCTGCCTTATCTGCGATCTCTCCTGTGCCCAGTGCTCTCTTTTCGTAACTCAGGAAATTCCTCAGCACCTGCCAAAGCCTGCCATTCTCTAACACGGCCAAGTGCCAGCTGAATTCTTCAGTTGCAGGGTAAGCCTGAAAAATTCTGCACCGAGGTCTCGTTTTGTTTTGTTCTCTCAAAACACATTATCTGGACCATGATATACTCTATTTTAATGATCAATTAAAAAAAACAAAACTAGCAGAGTACTAGGTTAATTGGAGTATGAAAAATCGCTTTGCCTTGCAGAAGCTCTGTCAACCATGAGGAAGTTTTGCACCAGTAAGGATTATTCCCCCTGTGCCCACAGGGTTGCTAAGCAGCTTTTTCTTTCACCACTTAATATGCTCTGGATGCCATGTTTAACAATCTACCTTCACGCCAGAGCCAACTCCTACCTCAGCCCAGAGACTGATCTCTGTGCTGCAGCAAAGGGGTACAGCAGTGGTCCCCAAACTGTAGTCCGGGAGACAGTACAAGCGGTCTGCAAAGGGTCCACAAAACCAGTGCACTCTTGGCACAATTCTTCCATTTTCAATGAAAAGTTTTTTAAGAAAGATGCCTAGTGCTGCCCAAGGAATACTGAAGGTGTTCTGCTCTAAATATAAATAACCATATGAAACAAGGAAGCTGAACACCAAAGGTCATTACAGACTTTGGATTTACTTTATTTATGGCCAGTCTCATGCTGCTTTACCTGGAGTGCAGATCTCCAGCCCAGCTCTACTGCACCACAGCTGCTCCCCTCTGAGCTCCCATTTTCCAAAACACTGATCTTCCAAAACTTTAAGCACATGTTGAATTGTTACCATCTGAGTAGCTCCATTTAACCTAGTCCATAAAAGTGATCTGCGTTTCTAAAGGGAAAAGGAAGATCTGCTAGACTACTTACTGCTCAGCAACAAAAATTTGGCCCAGATGATAGTAGGAGCATTAACAGGGCAGACTAATCCTACAGCGGCTATTGTCAATTTCTTCAGTACTTTTTTCTTTTTCTTTTCCATCTTTCAGGAGGGTCTTCTCCCTCCCCCCTCTCTTCTTAAGATTTTAAAATGTTGGCATTGCAGATCCCGACAGCTCCATTCAGTGGCTTCATGTGAATTCATTCCAAGACATTCTTGGCTCATCTCTCCCTGACATCCATGTCAGCAGCTAGCCAGCCAAAATAAGGCTACTCACAAGTACATTCCCTTTTCCTTTTTTGACCAGTGTGGAAACCAGCACCGTATATGCCCCTTGTCACAGGCACAAAGTCTTTTCAACAAGGGTACGTCTAAGCATACAGTTTCTTGCATCACAGCATCTCTGAAGTACAGCTTCCTTATCCACTCCAGTAGCGAACGCTCCATTCGGAGTCTCATTATTTAGCATTGGGATTAGTGCAGCAACCTCTTTCCCAGTCACACGAGCGTATTCAAGCCCGGCTGAGGTTCCTGACGCAAGCGCCCTTCACCCACAACACCTCTCCATTCCCTCATTTGCTCCCTTCCCCCTTGGGCACTCACAGACCCCTTGTCACCATTTTCAACAACCTCACCCTTCCGCCTGCCTTCATTATCAGCACATCCCTCCGGCCCCCAGTCACATACTGGTGCCAGCCTGCATCTGTCCAGTTGCCAAGGGAACTGCCTTTCTGCCCTGCGGCTCCCAGCCCTTAGGAAGAGCTCCCAGTAAACATCCTCCATCTACTGCACCTTTCTTCTACATCTTCCTCGAAACCAGGTGACAAAACCTCAAAGACGAAGGTTAAACAGGCTGCTGATGCACTGGCAGCTGCTCCTCTCAAGCACAGCATCATGGCCCCGTCGTTTCCTAATGCCCCCCCTTTTAGTCTACAAGCTGCCTCGATTTGCCAGCTCTTCTGGAAGAGGGGCATCCCTCCCCTCGCACCTTAAAGACACGATTCCTCACGGCTACCCTAATACAAATGCTTCTGAGCTCCGTTAATAACGTCAGAGTACAACTCTCTCATAGTGAGTCATAATGACTAATTTCCTACCATCCTTCAATGTTGTACAAAGTCAATTGTCCGTCTGGGGTCCTGCCCACTCGTCACAGGCTCTCAACCTTTCCAGTGCCTTGCTACATTGTTTGAGGTCTTCCTCTCCATTCCGACCATCCCTCTTGCCCCTGATTACACCATTCTTCCTCTTCCCACCAGCTACTGACTTCCCATTTAGTAAAAAGGCAAAATAAAGATAAAAGGTATAATAATCCTGTAACATCCTAGATACAATTTAAGACCAGTTTAAATTTTCTAAGCCTGACTAGTAACTTTGGTCACCCACGTATTATGGGCCTGAACAAGACCGTATTTTCAAAGGTACTCAACATCCATGTCCTGCAGATATCACGCCAGGAACCCAAGACTTTGAAAATCCACCCCAGAGGTAGCACCCAAAACAAAACAAGAACCACCAAATAACCCCGTTGCCTAAGCAGAGACAAATCACAAAGCAGTGTAAGGAAGCACTTCCAGAGAGTGTAAAAACTAATTGGTATATATTCTTTCCAAGATCCAATCATATGCACACACTACAAGGAGTACTGTTGGCTGCTAAGTGTAACTATGTTTAAAACCAGAGTGTTGCAAGATCTGGATGAAAAGCAGATTGAATGTTGGCACATTACAGAAACTTTAAAAATAAGTCAATTTTAAAATTGCAGATTACAAGAAAAATTAAATTGGATTTAAATATAGGAAAACAAGTATTTGCACATATCTTGTGCTCGAACCACAACAGCAGCTATAACTGCATACACAAAACTTACACTGTAGCCTTGCTGTATCAGTGTTTGAACGTGCTGAAACACACTAACAAAATAACAGTAGTGTCTATACTTGAAGGCCTAATTTAAGAACAGAATACACAAATGATTCTGCTGTTGTAGAAAAAAAGGGTAAGATCTGCAGGCAGCATAACAGTAGAACTTCTGAAGATTACTGATTAGACAAAAAAAAAAAATCAGTGCATACTGGAAGAAGGTAACATTCAAAATTACAGAGAGCGCTGATTTGACTGTCACTTGTCTCAGCAGCTCAGACTACATACAAAAGACACAAATGAATAAAAGACATCTCATGAAATCCTTACTATTTCAAGCAAGTCCTATTTTTTCCTCCAAGTGTTTACGGTTTCTCCAGACTACAAAACAGATGCAACTCACTCACCTCCATCCGTTTGCTCTAGATGTATTAAAAACAATGTGCGATGCAAACCCTCCACAGTAGGGCTTTAGCACCCTAACACACATTAATTTTTCTCTTGGTATTTAATGAAAATGATTTATTTTTATGGAAGGCTCAAAGATCATTTCTAGGTAGAGAAACTAGAAATTGCTCTCTAACAACCAACATGTTACACTTAAGACCTTCTCCGCAACATGATGGCAATACCTTATACTGGATTATACAATTCAAAGATCCATTGTCATTAAGTTTTCCTATTGAGAAGGGAAGAGTTCAGCAAGTCACAGCACTGCATGTTGTTCTCAGAAAACAAATAGATCTTTACTAATTTTTTTTTTATTAACAGGACTTTCACTAAATTATTAAAGATATTTTTCTAATGCCACAGCTCTCTACTAACCCATTTATCAGCAAGCTTCATCTCTCCGTCTAATAGAGGTGCTGTATCTTCCTCATGGTAATGTGGATGAGAAATACTTTATTGTGAAATACCTTTTTAGTACAACATAGCCCTAAATCAATCAGACAGGAACTTGTTTTGCTGTCCTACCTACCCCTTCTGGTGCATCAATGTGAGTCTACTGCCGTAACATACACCTTTCCTCCCTAGTAGGACTATCAGTTTGACAGCACAGTCACCATTTGCCACAAAAAGCCTACAGAAGAACACTCTCTACCCTTTCTTGTGTTTCCTGAAAACTAATTCTCAGTGGCCACAGGAGAAGGCAGCAACCTCATTTCAGACTTGGTTCTGCATTCGCAAATCCCACAGTTGACACTTCCCTCAGGAGTCTTTGTATCACAGACAAAACTGCACAGATCCACAAAGACCCTCTTTTTTTTTTTCATCCCTTCTCTCTCACAGATAGACAGCATGAAACATCAAAACTGTTTAGGAAGATGTTTGATAGGTAACAAGGGGACAAGTTTTTTATTCCTTTTCTATTCCTTTTTTATTTCCTTTTTATTTTTTTACCTTGCTCCATCAGAGCAAGCTGTACAAGCCTACAAGCACCCCGGCTGCTTCTTTAGCCATTTATTCACCCCAGCACCTGTGTGAGCACGACAGCTTCTTCGCCGCCCTGCACACCGACACGTGCTGCAGACACACCTCCCGGGTGACTGCACTGAGCACACAAATTGTGGCAGTGCACACAAGGTGTGGTAGCGTGACAGGAAAACAGGATTCCTTTAAAAAGCAGGACAACAAAAAAAAGCCTCTCTGCAACCTACTTCAGTTAGTCCTGCAACACAAATACTCACTTCCATGACACCACCTGTAGAAGACCTGGGACCTGCACACGTTTTCAGCTTGAGGTCACAGTCAGGTCTAGCCTCTTGCCCAACTCCACAGTCACTTCTGGCTGAAGTTAGGCTGTATCTCACAGCCTGATCGCTCCGAGGAAAGAAAAGGAGAAGAGGAACAGGCTGCTTGCAGTACGTTGCATGTTGTGGACACTTATTACATAATGCTGAAAACAAAGTCCATTAGCTACTGACCACACTTGGAAATACCACCCGCAGCACGGCCACTCTCGCTTGCGAAGTTAATCCCACAAAGGGCACCAACTTCAGCTAATTGTTGCAGCTGACAGAACTCCAGCACTCGGTACAAGGACCCACAGCCTCAAATGTCAACAGGTGTTGCGTTCTTATTCAAAATATTTATTTAGCCAGATTCCCGCTATTATTCCCAGGCCAAGACGGTCCCATAAAGCGGGGCCAAGATGGGATCGGATTCGGCAAGCTGCCTGAGAGCTCTTTTAAGAGCACAAACGTTACTTCAGCATATAAGCTAAGGAAAGAATGGCACAGTCGGAGCCCCTTGACTAATTCTCCTGTTTATACGCAAATAAGAGAGCACTGTGGAACCCCGCTCTCCCCTTGGCAAGCTACGAATTTCACTTGGATGCAGCCAACCCCTACGGACGGAACCTCGTGGCTACCCCACCAAAGATTCTGGCCAGAAAGGGTACCGGGGACACGCAGCTGAAAGCGGACCAGAAGCACAACAAGGGTTTGTGTGACACCTCGGGGAGCACAAAGCGCTTGCCCGGGCGGAATGAAAGCGAGCCTCCTCGAGGATGAGGAAGGGCCCAGGCGGCCTCCGGCGGGACGGAGGCATCCAGGAGCCACGGCGACTGACGCTGCCGTGCGACGGACGACAGCCTCGGCGGGGAAAACGTCATTCGCGGCCCCCACGCGAGCTTCGAAACCGGGCGGCCGCGTCCCCCCGTCCAGCCCCGAGCGTGACCGCCTCGGACAGAGCCCCGGGGCCGGCACCCCCAGGCCCGCTGCGGAGGCGGTCGGCGGGGTCGGCCCAGGCCCGCG